AAGCGGTGACCTTATGTGCTTGCAAAACTCGCTCGTTTGTACGTAAACAGATCGCAATCATTGGAGCAAGTTAAAAAGCTCACCCATTCCAATTTGTATTATTCCGATTTCAGGTTTATGGGTTAGGCTCTATATCTGCCCTCCTGTCTAGCACAGACAAGAACAGAGAACAGAGACATTAGATTTGATCAACTGTCTTAAGATAATTCAAACAATTACAGCACGACACAATGGCATTCTGTAGGAACATTAACATTAATTATTATTACTACTGCTATTATTATTAGATCGATGACCTAAAAGGAAGAGAAACTATTTAACCATATACAAAAATGTGTGAAGCAGCATGGGTTACACTTAGGTTGAAACGATGTGTGCAAAAATGACTGGTGTGCTATCTAGTGTCACTATGTGAATGACCAGAGTTACAAATTTTAAATAACTTTTTTTTTAAATAACACAACTTTTAAGTTTCAATACAGATCCAAACTTCCCTACAGATCTTAAAACGATTTAGAAAATGATCACAGTTTTTCTCAGCCCGTGGTTTCCACTGATTGTTGTCATCGATAATTCCACTACTGATACGCACCAGTAAACTATATCGGTTTCTTCAACAGATTTCTGCATCATTTAGCAACTACTTATCTGCCTAATATGATGCAAAGTAACTAACTGATCATTTGCCATGGTAGACTCAGAACCCGCAAAGAACTAAAATGATATTCCTAACAACTTCAGCACTGACCTGCACATGCAGCTGGAACGGACACATCCTTGTAGGTACTAGGTGTGAGACGATACGAGTAACTCACTATACGATCGGTACCACGTTCAGCCTACACGATACAATACGTCTCACCATTCTCTAACGATATACTTCACCGGTACACCACCAATCATATAAACGCTTACAAATCATTATCGTAGAGTGCTTAGTAAACAACTCACTGCTATGGAATTACGAAAACGTTTTTGTTTTTGGATGAAACTACACTTCTAAAAAATATGGATTTCAGTCAGTAGGGCACCGCTACGCGTATCTTGAATCGTCAAACATGTCAATGCGCGTATCCTCGAAGTCTGTTGTATCGCGATACGTCAACACATCGACGAATCGTCCCACCCCTAATACGTATGGCATCTAAGAAGCTACAAAAGATTCTCTTATTCTTCGTATTGCCTCGCGTCGCCGCCGCGTCAAGAGAACAGCACCTTCTGCAGGTAGTCGATGATGGGGGGATGCTGGAGGATGCCCATGTGGTCGACGCCCTTGTAGCCGCGCTCGTACACTTTCTGCTTCTGCGCGCGCTCCCAGCGCAGGCAGCCGCGCAGGCTTCGCATGTTCACCGTGCCGTCGCCGTCGCCGTACGTCGCCGTCGGCTGGTGGTCGGGGAACTTGCCCGCCTTCCACGCGAATCGCTCGGCCGTGTCCACCTTCGCGCCGTGCAGGCAGTGCACGACGACGCCCGGCGGCTTGCCGATGTCGATCAGGTCGCGCGTGTCGAGCCACGAGTCGTAGCTGCGGGGCGGAGAAACAAGTGAGCGCCAGAGTGAACGCCGGCAGAAAACAGAGTAAACACGAGTCGTAGCTGCAAGGCGGAGAAACAAGTGAGCGCCAGAGTAAACGCTGGCTGGAAGATTTCGGGAGCGGCACTGCGGTATTCGACCCGGCAGGCGAGTGGCTTTTCTGCAGCAGCGCGGACAAACGGAGAAACAAGTGAGCGCCAGAGTAAACGCTGGCTGGAAGATTTCGGGAGCGGCACTGCAGTTTCCGGCTAAGAGGATTCTTCGCCGCGACCTCGATTACGGACAAACGGAGAAACAAGTGAACGCCAGAGTGTACGCCAGTGAGAAGGTTTTTGCAAGCAGCGCCGCGGTTTTTGACCCGGCAGGCGAGTGAATTTCTCGCCACCGCGGCTTCGATCACGGAGCTACCCCGACGAAATTTTTTGCGCGAGTCGAATTCTGAGGTGCCTTTTATCGATACTTTCGAAACGGCACTACGTCTTTAGCAAGGAGCTAAATATAACAAGGAGAGGAAGCGCCGCCATATCTGGCCCAAATTTGGGTTCGGCAGAGACCCTAGAACAGATTAGTGTTCTATTGTCTCTGGGTTCGCTCTGCACAGCTGTTTCAGCTGATTATGGTCCATATTCCTTGAGGCGAAAAGCACACAGCCAATCCGCTTCCTCTCCTTGTTATATTTAGCTCCTTGGTCTTTAGGTATCAAACAGACGCCTGTTGACGTTACAGAGCTTACCGATCTGGAATCGAATTTTAACGATACCTTCGAGAAACAGAACTACGATAGAGCCGATAGAGGCAGCTTCAGTACATGTATTTGTGTTTAAATCAGATCCTTACCCGTTTGGATAACCCAGGTCGTCGAATAAGGCCTTGTAGTACGATGATACGCTGATAGAGGCAGCTTCAGTACATGAATTTGCATTTTTAAATTACATGCTTACCCGTTCGGATAACCCAGGTCGTCGAAGAAGGCCTTGTAGTCCTTGACGGTGTAGTTGCGCTGCGCCGTCGTCGCCAGCACCTCGTCCGGTCCCCAGAAGTCACTGCTCGGTAAGAGGAAGGCGAGGCTGGGAGTGCTACGCTGCTGCTTCCTCAGCGTGAGCGGGTTCAGCAGAAACACGCCCAGGTTCTCACCTGTAACAACCAGGTAACGACCCCCGGTCAGGTAACGAACCCCGTCAGGTAACGATCCCCGGTCAGGTAACGACCCCGGTCAGGTAACGAACCCCGTCAGGTAACGATCCCCGGTCAGGTAACGACCCCCCGTCAGGTAACGAACCCCGTCAGGTAATGATCTCCGGTCAGGTAACGAACCCCGGAAAGGTAACGAACCCCGGAAAGGTAACGACCCCAGACAGGTAACGATCCCTATCAGGTAATGACCCCCGGTCAGGTAACGACCCCCGGTCAGGTAACGATCCCTGCCAGGTAACAAACCCGTAAAACAACGCTTCCTCGTACCCGCCGCACACTCACCGGATGCGTAGACCCTAATCGGTTTCACCGTGCCGCCCCAGACGCCGGCGAGAGCGAACATCGAGTGCACGAACTTGTCCTTCCACGCCTGCGACTGCCCGTTGAGGAAGTAGAGAACCATTGGGTTGCCCATCGAGTGGCAGAGCAGCACGACCTTCAGGGGTAGAAATTAAATTTTGAACAAGGGGGTCCCTGCCCTCAAGAAGAGAGAGTCTGTAGCAAAATGAGGGAGTTCGCAGTCTGAAGTTCAAAACTAAAGCATAACATTAACATTGACAACAATAACGCATGTGCTTATTTTGGAGATTCGTGCGATGCACGTCCGCCAAATTTTCTTTGGACATTTGCTGAAAAAATACGGTTCGAAAAAATAAATATTGCTAAAATTCCGTGAGGCCGTTCTCTGGAACAAACTACTACTAGTTAGTATAACAGAATTTTCAGGGAGTCACACGGACTCCTGCATATGTCAAATCAGGGAGTCCGACAGTAAATCAGGGAGTCCGACAGTAAATCAGGGAGTATTTGACTCGGGACTCGTGTTAATTTTGCACCCTGACCTTGTGGTTGCCGTTTGAGTAGTACGTCTGCTCAACGAGTGTCTTCAGCCGCTTGAAGTATTCGCCGTGTTCGTCTGCGGATCAGAGCGAGAGAAAAACCGTCGATACTCGTTAGTCCTTCCGGCCACGTCGAAGGAACGTGTTTAGATTGGTTTCGTTATTTTCGGCGTGTGCGTGCTTCTCAGAATACGAAACCGTCATTGAAAGACCGGATCAGAGCGACAGAAACTTGTTAATACGTCGTTCGCACACGTTAAAGCCAGTATTTCGAAAATTATTTCGAAGCATGACGCGTGTTTTTCTCCACTTATATGATACTTACCGTTATTGCTTGAGTAACAGCAACTGTCTAGAGTAACGCTAACATATCTTAGAATCTTCATACTTGGCCATATTGACCGAAACATGCACGATTCGAATTCTGATTACTCGTTTTGATTTTTGCCGCAATTTCTTGCGAATCTCGGACTATCTCGCGATGGCGCAAGATATCAGTAAATTTGAAAATAGAAACGAAGTAAACTACACAGAAATCGTTAATCTGTCAGCGTCGACGGAATGCATTTAGATTCATATTGTTATCCTCGGTGTATGCGTGCTTATCAGAAGACGCAACCGTCGTCGAAAGAGGGAGCGTCGAAGGAATGCATTTAGATTAGTTTTGTTTTCTTCAGCGCATGCATGCTTTTCAGAGGACACAAGTGCCATCGAAAGAGGGTGTATAACCAAATTACTGCTGGCTTAGCACCTAGTTAGTCAGACTGCAATAGATCTGGAACAGCTCTCAGTAGATATGAATTGCATTCAGTCGGTCACCATGAGAAGAGACAATATCTTTAGATCGCATTACAAACGTCTGTGAACCACTATCGGTGACACAAAGTTGGGTTGAAGTTGAAGTCAGGTTGGCCAACTTACTTGGTGCTCTTCTGAAGTCGTACGGCGCACCTTTGATGTTTAACCCTCTCGTGTATCCCAACGCGATCAAGGCATCTACTATCTTTGTAAAGTACAGGCCTAAAGCAGTACACAAGCAGTTTTATGCACCATTGCTAGTAGAAATACAATTACATGAAAAACAACTACAACATGCAAAATTTCCATGCATGCCCTTTGAATTGTACTCGGCATAAAACTCAAAAGTAACGGTACGCACTTGTTTTTGGTATGCAAACAATATTACTACAATTACATTAATTTTATAAAAAAAACTTGCTTGTAAAGATTCATCATTATGATCTACAGCCAGATTTGCCGATATTGAAAAACTGCTACAGATAAATTGGTTTAAGGGATGATAACACCAGGGGTAAATAATGACAATGAATTTGTTATTATTCATCCCTGGTAATACTAATACTGATCAAATACCTGGTGAGGCCTGACTGGGATCCAGCCACTCTACAGTCGTGGTGTTTCCAAAGCCAGGAATCCTTATGTTAACACCTTCGGGTTCGCTGGCCTTCCTTGTTACATTGTCGTAATCCAGCCTACAACAGACGCATATACATACTGTCATACAGATACAGAGAGTAAACATTACACTGTGTATGGCTAGATGCACAAAATACCCATGAATGTCAACACGCACATATATGCACGTGCAGATATAGTAAGTGTACACAAACTTCAGATCTCAAGAGCAAGTGATCCACCCAGGTTAATAGAAAGAGATAATGCCACACTTTAGCCACATGTTGGGTGTGTACAAGGCTAGATATTAGCAAGAGCTAATAAATACCCAGAGTGTACAATGAGAAAACGGGAAAATAGTGCTATTTCACGGCAATATTATTCTACTTTGCCTGCGAGTCTAGAATGATATAGGATTGCAATAAGCAGCATTCTTTGCTCTCTAAAATAAGACCAACCGCTTGTCTCTACGATACTCCTAGGCCGAGATATTAGAGCGTAATCATGCCTCCCACAGACCTCATGCCGCCCTCGCATAGATCTACATTATTCCCGAACCTTCTCGCCTTTTGCGGATTAGGAAAGTCGCTTTGTGAGAGTTCGGTTTTTTCCGCGATAATTTTATGAATGAACAGCGCAGGCCCGGTTTTGCAAGCAGGTTTACCATCATGGGTTTTAGGTGCTCGAGTTCAATGATGCTGCCACACAGTCGTCAGATTCACATATTGAGCAGATCGGAAGATTGCACGCAACACGTATTATGTTCATAGACTTGAGTTTGTTTACATCGTGAGAGTTCAGAAATTTCACCGATTTTACTGCATCTACTCTAGCTTTCAAACGCAGCTTTTTATAATAGCTAGTGCACGTAGTATGGATAAGTACTTTGATTCACTAGACAACGTAGCCAAAGCACGCTATCTCGAGAAAATTGCGTGCATTGGGAATCGAGACCCATACCAAATAGACAATGCCGAATGAAGTGAGGACCACAATGTGTTCCCATCACACACCTATTTGGATCTCGTGAACTACCTAACATTCCAGCCGAGTCCATTTTATACTCTCAAGGACTTTCAGAACTACAAAAGCCTGGATGTCTACGATCGACTGGTCTGCGGTTGGGCGAGAGGTGTATCTGTCTACATCTATGATGTGAACAATGAGTGCCCCATCTACGTTATCCGATGACGTGTTATGCACTCCCAGTCTCTGAATATACCGTCTCTCCATCCGTGGGTTATAATGAGAGAAAATGGAACAGTCATGTCAGCGCACTGCAATTGTAAAGCCGGGCTTGGCGAATCTTGTTCACACGTTGCCTCGGTGCTATATTCTACGTAGAGTATGCTGCACGTGCAAGGGAAACCATCACACCCACTCAAACAGCTGCCTACTGGATGCCGGCGATATATGTATGTAAGTGTAAATGTGTAGCGGCGTGTGCCGTGCGCGCGGTGTACCTGTGTGTCGCAGAGGAGCATTTGACCGGCATTTACAGGTAATTATCGGCAATACTAGGCTAAAGAGAGTAGAGAAACATTAAGACATTGGTAGTAAATACATTTCGTGTTTATTCAGCATTGCTTTTTTATTGAAAATGCTCCAAGCGTCTGTGGTCCGCCTGGTCTCTCGTCACTTTACCTGGTGTTGTGATCACGCTAGGCAGCCTAAAAAAGCTGTGTGGCTCTCTCTGATACCGATTGCTGCAGTTGACAACACCGCAGGAGAGCGGCGTTGTAATGGATTTGCTTAATACTAATAGGCGAATAAAATGGGCAGAGGTGCATTGCTCAATGTACTTGTACCATGCCTGAACTGGTTTCTGGAACCCTAATGGCCTTGTGCAATGCCGTTGCATTGTGGGTAATATGAAAAATCGCGGAACCCTCTTAGTCTATATATCGTGTAGTAAGAGTACCACATTTGGGCATGTGACATCAATTATCAGCGCTCCAAGCGGCGACGGAAAACGATAGCCAGACCCGCAAAAGGCGAGAACGTTCGGGAATAATGTAGATGCGAGGTGGTGTGAGGCCTGTGGGAGGCATGATTACACTCCAATATCTCGGCCTAGGAGTATCGTAGAGACAAGCGGTTGGTCTTATTTTAGAGAGCAAAGAATGCTATTTAACGCAATACCTGAACTTAGTCTAGTCTCGCAGGCAAAGTAGAATAACATTGCCGTGAAATAGCACTATTTTTCCGTTTTCCCGTTGCACACTGGGTGTTTATTAGCTCTTGATATTAGTGATATATAGTCTAATGTTATTTCCCTGAGCATACAAAAGATGACAACAATCCCAACATGATACTAACTTGGCTTGACAACTTTCTATTTTTTGGCCACCAAAAGGGCCACACCCATTGTACTGATCAAGTGGGTTTGGGTTCAAAATTTGTAGACCTCTAAAAAACCGTTTATGCGATAAGACTTCTGGTCCTTTGTTCGTTTTGTTTTGAGTACTTCCTTTTCACGACAAAAACTTTTGACGGGCATTTAATTTTCAATACAAAGTGGGCGTGTGGCTTAGCATGTGACCTATAGCTTACCTCATGTTGTCGACCCAGCAGTCTAACACATAGGGAATTAGAAGCTCTAGGTTCAGCCATAGGTTGAAGTAATCACTAGTGATCTTGTCGCAGTAACTGTGTGGAACTACAGTCTTGTTAAGCTTGGCTTCCACCTGACTGCCCCCATCACCTGGAACTAAACGATACTCGCATGTTATCAAACACAGTAATGCATTTATAAGGATGTAGTGACTGCAAGTTATCACGGTTAAATTTCACTTGGAAAACTCCCTTACTGTTAAAAACAAGTGCCGCGGAGCGACAGCGCTCATCTTGAAGGGTTGTTTGTTGCTACGAATTTAAACGTAAAATTTGAGTCGGTGCCCCGTCCGGGCAGTACCACATTTGTTAGCGCAGAATATTTGCAAGCACGGCAGTTGCTATACACATCAGTGTTTAGGACACGGGCCACTATCGCAGATGGAGGGGGGCACAGGGGGGTGGGAAGGGAGAAGGGCTTCTGATAGCAAGCAAGTTCCATCTTTTTGAACAGGTCAAAACAAATCCATGTTTAAAACGGGTCCGTCCTCTTGGAGGGTCAAAAAGGTTATCAAGACAACTTACTCTTCGCAACGGTCTCAGCAGAAGGACATTTTCTCATGCGTCTTTCAATAGAAAAGCCATAAACATGGAGTCCCGTCATTGAAAAAAAAAGTTTTTCAATCGCCTCGTCAGACATCCGGTCCTCAGAAAATGTCTAAAACTGCCGCTGTGCCATTGACCCTTTACGGTGACCTCCCAATTTCGGGCACTAGTGATGTTTTCACCATAATGGCTAATAACAACCGACTATCACGAGCCCATAGGTCGGACGCGTTTAAGATTCGTGGCCGCAATTTTCTGCCATTCTCCGTTAGCCTTACGTTAAGGAGTGAATGTTCCCCTTCTTTTACACCATCTTGACCTTTTGACTCATTGGACACCGCTTCGCACTATTCCCCAAACTCGCTTCTGCTCGGATTACCCCCCCCCCCCAACGTCCCGAATATCGTGCCCGATTACGTACGACCGCGCTTAAAGATCCTTGTGCCACAGAATGTTGCGCGGTACGGGACGGAACGGCGACGGACGCACGGACATTCATCGCGATTCATAACCAACGCTGCTACGGGATATGTCAGATGAGCTAAAAAAGAAAAAAAACTACACTAAGAAAAGGACATCATTCTAAGTTCCCGGGTTAGCGGAACGTTCTTTGGGCCCATATACAGTCTAGCCATGGAGTGTTAAATCAGACAGTTACTGCATTATGGCCAACCCTCCGCTTACTTTAGAACTTTAGAAGAGGTTTTACTCTTACATTTGAAAACTTTTGCAAGGCTGGACATGGGTCGAAATCCTAAGAGGCCCGCGGACCCGAATCCACCGTCACGACAGCCCTTCGTTTCGTATTTTAAAGGTCAGCGCACCTGACATCTATTCTGGTAATCATAGCAAGCCCGGCGGATTCCAGTAGAAAATCACCCCCCAGTTATAAATACCGGTCCTCACGGGCCTGTAAAATTTCCCTGGGGGGCCTGGTAAATCGGGGCCATTACCTACCAGGCCCGGTGGCTCTGTATTTTCAAAACTACCCTGGTGGCGTTTCATAGTCCATAGTTTCGTCAAATCTATGCATTCCATCCCATTTTAGGATTTCCCTACAAAATGTTGAAAAAGCTTCCTGAACCTAAGCTAATCTAACCCTAACCTGTCTGGATTCTGTGTTCGTAGTTGATGGACCAAAGTGATTAAACTTGACAGGTAATACTGCAAAATTACAATGACATCTACCTGTCCGCTAATTAAGGAACACAAAGAATTACTGGCTGTACTAAAATCCCAATGGAAAAATTTAAAAAAATTTTTCGTGGCGGCTACTTTTACAAAGCTCGCGTGCATGGAAAATAGCAATCTAACTTGGTTTGCATTAAAAACTCATTGAAAATTTACGAAGGGCTTCTTTTTCTTGAGCAATTCGGGGGCCTAAATGCCCGCCAACAGCGCCCCCCCGCTGCATCATTCTCTTTCTCCAGCCCTCGTGTACGTCTACCCCAACGCTTTGCTAATCCCCACACATATTAGGCCTTCCCTGCCACTACACCTCTATTCCGGGCAACTCGACGCCCGTCCCCCTCCCCTGTCCCCCTGGAATCTATTCCAGTTGATTTGTAGGTTCACTCCACATACCGGACCCTTCACCACCGTACTCGTCCAATTTCACTACCAATTTTTGTCCAAAGATGTGCGCAATCAACGGTCACCTTTAGGTATCTAACACGAATTATATAAAGCAGAAGCCCAAGCTGGATCGCCGCCCGCCGCACGCCACCGTATCTTCACCCTTAATCGTATCAGTGGTTACGCCCCGCCGTTTTGAAGTGTGGTTGAATAACACACCCTTTGATTAGCGTCTAGACTGAATTGCATTTAATAAGCCGAGCCCAATACGAAGGTATGACGTACTCACATGAATATCTTTAATAGTTTACCTTAGCTAAGCATTTCCGCCGACCGTATATTACTGGCGCGGAATGGTACAAGTATAGTCACGGGGCAGTAAACCTCACATAACTCGCGAGGTGTATTGCGTTCAAGTTGGCTGTCAATACGTAATATGTATAGGGTCTCGTATCGTTGTGGGAAACTTGGCTCTCTTCTTGTCTCTGGCCCAGACACAGCGGTTATATATATCGCAATAGGTGCCACGCCTCTATTGTCTTCTCCACAGTCCCCATTGCCTGTCTTAAATTGCCCTTTCCAATCCTGCGATTCGTTATCGGGGACTTTGCCAAACAAGCGTGGTTCTATCAATGGACAGCACCGAACAACTATGACGGTCTCATAGCATTCTCTACATATTCCGTCCTTCCGGACTGTATTACAGATTACATGGGAAACTTCTGTACCATCAAAATGAATGACGGTCATCCCGAGACGAAAGCCCAGCCGCAACCCATCCGCCGACCGCCTCATCGGTATGTGCCAATTCACTTTGCTAGTCATTAAGCCAAAACAAAATACTGTGTCGGTTACCGTTCATGCCGAAAAAAATAGGTGGTAGGAGCGAAAACATTTTATTTTTCATTGAAATTTTATTACGGAAAAACGTTATGTCCGGGAAGGCATCGTGCGTTTTGTGACGTTTTGCAAGCAGGAACTGAAAAAATTTTAAGATAAATTTTTTTTCATTTTTAAATTTTCCAATTTTAAATTAATAAATTTGTGGTAAGCTGGGAATAAATAGGGTCGGTCAGGAAACCGTAACCACACCTATATTTTGTCTTGGCCTTACCTTAGTACCTATACACACTCAACCACAACCCCGTAGCTTTTCCCTCACAGTGTATACAACGGTTACCAAAACTATACCAGGGTTCATAGTAGTAAGACACATGTTGAAATAAGAACTTATAAGACTCTTTCTGGAGGCCAAAATAAGACTTTTTTACGCGACTATTAAAGTACACTAATAATTAATATTTATATACACAATTGCACAGTAGAATTAATTATTCCGTATTAAATACAACAATTCTTACTCTAAGTCGAGAACAGTTTATAAAACAATTGGTCCTTTGGCAAAAAATAAGGACTATTAAGTACTTTTCTAAGATTTCACCAAAAATAAGTACTAATAAGGGCCCTTATTTCATTTTTGGCAAACCAAGTACTTATAAGACTTTGGAAGACCCGCTACGAACCCTGTATACGTGGCCGAGATTTTTCAAGGTTGTGATATGCCGGAAGCTCCATAGAAAGACTGTCTAACCGCTGAAGAACTTTAACAATGGATGACCTAAATATAGACTGTGTGCATTGCTGCAGTATGATGAACTTTCACTGACTGTATATAAACGTGACGTAGGTACTATACTTGTCTAATGACACCACAAGTGATAGTATTTATTATTTCAATCCACGTATGGGGCTAGTACTTCTACAAGCAAATAAAGGTTACAGATGTGCTTACAGATCTATAGCCAATGCACAAACATATGGCAATGTCATTAGACAAACTCTGATTTTTGGTTGGATGCAACTTTGATCGTTATTCTGCAGACATTATGAACCCGTGTGATATTTGATCGGTGACATGTGTGAAGATGTGAATGAAGATAAGGGAAATTTAGCAATATAGTTTCATAGTATTAGAAAATGGCCAAATATTTCAAACTCAGGGCATTTTATTTAAGAGAAATTTAGCTGTTAAATCCATACATACACTATCAGAAAAGAATTTTATGTATAATTTATATTATAACAAAAATAACGTTTACTTTTCATTCTGGATCGAGTTTTACACACGAGATCGCATTGGAGACAAATGAAATTGAAAGGCGTAGATAATACACCAATCAATCACATTGACAGTGACACTTATGTCATGATATTGATATTGCCATTATTCATTTATTGGCATGACACAGCACCAACAAATTTCGTCTGCACCACACACTCCATGTACGTGTGAAGATTTTGAGAAATGCAATGCTGTAGCGAAAGGCAACAGTGCGATAGTTACGGCGCACATAACGATGATATATTTATTTGAATAGTTATGTCCCGTGACTGTGAGTCAGTGCACTAGCAACCACAGGCACTTGGAACTTGGCATTTATCTACACATAGATACCAAAATGGAAGCTGTTGGATGTGTATTCGTGCTGTGAAGGTGTGAAATGAAGCGAGCGTTGAGCGAATTTTGCAATCACGCTTTCCTACCTGCTCTCTTATTCATGTTGTTTGTGCACAGGGCATGCGTAATAGCGGCAGTAATAGGTGAAATAGAGTAGAGAAACATTAAGACTTTAGTAGTAAATACATTTCGTGTTTATTTACCTTTTTTTTATTTTTATTGAGTCATTCCAAGTGCATAGTAGGCATAGTAGGGCTGAGAGGGTCTATATGTCCCCCAGGGTACTGCCGGAACGTACCCTGGGTACGGTCCGGTATACTGAAACGTACCCTGGTACTATCTAATAGTAATATGCCGGACCGTACCTCGCCTACTCCACTAACGAGTCTAGGGAGTCGCCTACGCCTACTCCTAACCATATCAAATAGTTACCAGGGTACGTTCCGGTATACCGGACCGTACCCAGGGTACGTTCCGGCATAGCCACAAGTTCCCTTCTCGCTTAACACTACTTTGGCGAGAGGGTCACAAGCCGACGCAATAGAATATTGTTCGGCATGATGTGCGCTGCTATTAAACGTAAAATTATCTAACTTTTTATGATTGTTAACGGTACCGCTTCTCTGTACTTCCACGCCTCAATTTATTATATGTGCGCTATCACTGAGCATGTATTTACGTGTCAGCGAGTAATTATTTATAAATTGATAAAATAAAACTAAAAAAAACGCTGCCATTTTCCAATAGATATCCCATCATGCGTAGCGAAAAATACACGGAGTTTGTTTTCAAGCGACCAGGCATTTCGTATGGAAGGGTGTCAGGCTCCTACGACGTGTAACATTCGGAGAGCCTGGTCGGTTTAGTTCCGGCAGTACCCTGGGGGACATAGACCTTATGAGCCATAGTACTGCTGATACTGATAGGGTCTATGTACCCCAGGGTACTGCCGGAACGTAACCTGGGTACGGTCCGGTATACCGGAAAGTACCCTGGCACTGTCCCTGGTACTAAATACTACTATCTAATATGCCGGACCGTACCTCACCTACTCCACTAACGAGTCTAGGGAGTCGCCTACGCCTACTCCTTAACCCTAACTCTAACCCTAACACTAACCCTAACCATATCACTACCACTACGGCACTACTACCAGCTAGATAGTTACCAGGGTACGTTCCGGCAGTACCCCGGGAGACATAGACCCTATCAGCCATAGTACTAGTAGGCAGTAGGCAAAACTTGCACTCACAAATCTATAAGAGGATACGGAATAAATTTTTTCTTTTCTTTTTCTCTCTTTTTTTGCAGGGAAATACCGATCTAAAGCCAGTAAAGGTTCACAGTCATACATCATTACATGCATATATCAGTGTCACTACCAACCGTCGCGATTATACTCGTAAAAATAATACATTGCCACGATTGCTGCTACAAATACTTACTTAATATGACTGGGTGGCCTATGCCATGTTTTATGGGTATAGATTTAGCTTCTGCTGATGAGAGTATTACATAACACACGAGAACTGAAAACACACAACATCCAACTCGCTCCATTCTCTGGCGTTCTGCCAGGTCTGCTGACCCAGCATCCGTTATTCTGTGGTCAGCATCACGCGATGTCTATGTAGACAGACACGGAGGTCCTTTCGCCTTAGCACACATAAGATGATGTTGCTGAAAACACAATCGTGTCTCGTCTATGACCATAACAGCAGTGGCGCCACCCAGTGCGCATCTTGTATCTTGTATCTTGGGGTCCCTCTTTTGTATTTCACAAGGCACTGATTCTCTTGGAATGTGCTGGGAAATCCTGTATATAAGGAAATTCTGTCTACAAGTTAGCATTAATTGTTTTACTTTCTCTAATTGATAATGCCTTTCTAACATATTCTAGTGCTGGTTTTAGTATTTTCGGGTCATCACTTTTCCAATCTTCTACTCGTTCCCCTTTATTATACCCTCTATATACCTTACATGAGTATAAATGTTCCAAATTTTCTTTTTTCCTTTCGTCACACAAATCACATATATCATTACTGTAGTTATTTTTAAAATAACCTTTTAAGTTTATCATGCACGTCTTACACCTAAACACAAAGCATGCATCATCAAATGACAGTTTTGTCATATATGGCTTTAATACATAGCTTTCGATATAAATCATTTTCATTTTTGTTTTCTCCCCAGACCTCATGGTATCTCTCATAATTAATGTTTTTAAAATAGCCTCCTTCACATATTTTTTCCATTCTTTCTTATGATGTGAACCAATAGTCATAAGTGGCATACTTATGTCATACTCCTTCAAGATTTCTAAAGCCTTATTTGCCCAATTACTTCCAATTTCTTTAATTTGTTCTAAAAATACTCTTTTCATTAATCTGTCATTTTCTAACTGAATAATGTATTGCAATAACATTAACTTTTTATAACATATTCTATTTTTTATTGGATTTATTCACTTTCTATTCTATAGTGACTCTAGTTGTGTGTCTTGCTGTGCGCTTCGAGTATTCTTTCTTTCAAAATTATTTTTGCGAAATCCTCTACCTATTTTTTTCTTTTCCTTTTGTAGATTATTAGTCAAGTTTCCGCTTATTATTTGTTAGTGACTGGCATACAGCTGCATTCATAAAGTTTAAACACGTTGCTTCCATTGACATTGTTCAAATTGGTGTTCATTAGCATAGATATTATTCACTCATCATAATCGACCTTTATCTTGTTCTTTGTATTTTATCTTTCTTTTTATCCTCCTTTTTTACTTAATATCTCGCCTAAGTATGTATATTTACTTCATCTTTTTATTATTTGATCTCTGAGAAGGAACCTTGTTTTCCTTTGCTATTTAGGGCCTTCCAACATTTTTTATTTTCAATATATTTGTCTTCGATCTTCATATTAATTGTTAGCATTTTTCTTCGCCGCCTGTACACGCTTAAGCCATTTTTGTCATTGTCTCCCAATTTCCATAATCCCAGATATCACTTCATTATATAAAAGACGGCGTGATTTCATTAATGCGCGCGTTCACACTGGGCGCGGGAATTTAGCGCAGATGCAAATCTCGCGTTTTGCCGATCGCAATCGAATTTCTCGAGCATTTTTTACAATGTGTTGAATCGCAAAAATCTCATCGGTTCGCGATCGCATCGCGCTGCAAATCGCCTGTTAGCACTGCCGCTTATTTGGAGGGAATTAGCCGCGATTTAAGTTGCACCGCGACGTGTGTTGTGAACGCTCGCGTCAAATAATCCGGTATTTTCTATTCCCATCATTACGATGTGTCTTACGTAAATACGTGCAGACGGTAGCAGTTAGCTCCGTTACGTAACAGTGCTAGAGCCGGCAGGAGATAGCGGAGGAAAGGTGGGGAGGGCAGGAGGAGACAGCAGGATGGGCGGGGGAGAGAAGGCAGGGCAGGATGAGGGTTTAGGGCAACGCTAACGAGCTAGGTTAGCATACGTTAACGTAACAGAGCTAGACTACTACCAACGACTGCACTTGCGCTGTAGTGGATCGAACACGACTCGAATCCCGGTTAGTACATAATTCCTCCCGCGCGCGACCGGACAGGCGCTTATATTCCGGTTGATATCAGGCATGCGCAGTTCGATTATGAATTATCCCGCTCACGCGATTAGCGAGATATTCCGCTCTGCTGTGAACAATAGTGAGGCACATTATTCGTGGTATTTCCATCGCGATTAGCATCGCGGTTTTTCTTGTGTGTGAACACGCCTATAGACCGGTGTACCATAATTATGTACTTGGTCTAACGTGATACAACATAATATTGGGCCTAACACGGTCCAATGACGCACTATTTCATTTATTTCAAATGTTTCAGATAGTCAATTCAAATAGATTTCAAATGTTTTACATGTGTTTTAACTGCTATATTGTGGCTTTTTCATTCATTTTGTATATTATTTTCCAACAAGGTCCTTTTAATCCTTTAAACCACAGGTCAATCATGCAGTCCTTTAGCCATAATTTATCAAAACATTTTTGGATATTTCCAAAGAACAAGAGTATGTTTTTCTTCAGACTCCTACTTTGATCTATTATGGCTCTAACAACAAATAGATGGTCTGTGGTGCTATAACCTTTTCTCCCACCACACTGGTTTGTGCATCTCTTGATTACATTTTGTTTTCTATACCAAATCCTTTTTTTCTACTATTTTACTCATAATATCCGTTAAGAAGATGCCTCTAGTATTCTTAAGGTCTTCCTTTGACCCTTTTCCTTTGTAAATTGCTTTTATAGTCATTTCATTCCACTCTGTAGGAACACTTCTATTTTGAATTAGCAAGTTTATCATTATTTTCAGTGACATTTTTAGGTCGTCCCTTGCATTTATTAATAACTCGTACATTAAGCCTTGGTTATCTGGGGATTTGTTCCTTTTTAGTGAATCTATAACTTTCTGAATTTCGTTAATATTAGGTTCACTATCCTCGACTCTTCTATTTATATTTCTTATTTTCTGAAACATTTTTTCTACTGATTTAAAGAGTTGTAGCATTCTTTCTCTCCTACTGGAGTCTTAGTACTTAATAATTCTTTAAAGTGTTCTACGTAGGCTCCTTTAATTTCATTGACTTTTTCCAACTTTACTTTGGGTTCCCCTTTTTTTTCCACTCCAAACATTTTATTTTCCTTCGCTGGGAGCAACCTTTCCCTTGTTTTCCAAAAGCTTCCCGAGTTTATTTCTCCCTGTTTTTGGAGCTCATCCAACTGCTTATAAAACTTTATTATTTGTTGTTGTTGTTGTTGCAGTCCAATCCTTCCATGGAGCTTTCTTATTCTTTCATTTAGATAATAGGTTAGTTTCGTATTAATTTCAAATTTAGCTTGACTGAGCTTTTTCTTTAGTGAACGCTTGATATCAAAGAGAAACCTAAGTTTTTCACTAAGTATTGGTACACACCTTTTGGCAGACTTCTTAAAGCAAGCTGGTATTATTCCTTTTAAATCGCTCATCCATTTTGTATATTTCTTTTCGAAGCTTCCTTGTTTTAACCATATTTTATTAAGGTTGCTATTTTTGGTAGCAATCTTCCATTTTTGGAGTCCTTTTTGATTTCTAATATTGTATGCCTTTTTTGTAGAGTCTTCAAAATTCTCTTTGTATTTTTCTTTATTTGATAACATAATATCCAATTCAATTGTATTGTGATCACTGTACCGGGTTTTTATTATCCCATCCATATTTTCATATCTACATAATCCCCACATTCTATCTTCATCAATTTCCATGTTGGTAATTTTTTCTTCCAGCTCGCTATCGGCTAACACGTAATCAATTACTGATTTTTGTTCTCCCTGAACTCGTGTCCAGATCCCTTTGCATTTGGTGCTTCCATTTAGCAAATGTAATTTACAATGTTTTGTTAAACTGATTTAACAACTAACATTTAACATTAACAACTAATTGTTAAACATTTAACAACTGATTTTGTTTTGTGCGCGATGTATTTACATATATATAGTGAAGTTCTTCCCCGGATTTGTCCCGTGTTTGATTGGAAATTATATTATAATAGTTCTTCTTATACGCGCTCTGTTCATATTAAGGTTATATTACATTATGCATTAAGCAATAGAATTTTAAAAAATACGCTTTTAAAATTCTGACATCATTTTTGATATCATGTCTTTTAATTCCGACTTAATTTTTTTTTACTTTAATTGTCTCTTCCCGTTTTCGTTATAGTCCCTCCTTGGACTTCGAAGACGCTGAATTTTTGAGGTTATGTGGTTACGTGCTCCTGATAAAAATAGCCAATTGGAAACGTAGGTAATTACCAGTGTTATTTACAGATGTGAATTCACCTCAAATTCTACTGAGAATTCTAATAAATAACTATTTCATCAAACCAGTTTGTAATATAAATTTACTGAATATTGATTTAATGGCAGTTATAGTAAGTATATACATCATGATTACCACTATGTTAATCAATATTACATCCTTATAATAAGCATCACGTAAACAATTATATCTAAATATATCTAAATATATC